TGGATGTTAACAAAACATACAAACGCACACGAAACAATAATGCATACAACAACAGTACACACACCAGTACACATGACACCAACTCACATACACACTCAAATTTGTGTACACACGCACACACATGCACACACTGACTACCGGACACACTTACATACACGCATACCTACAAACTTTTATACCCACGCATACAAATACGCAAATATTTTCATACACACATATATACATATATACGCATAAAAATTACGCACATAGGCAAACAAACTTTCACGCACACGCACACGCAACTGACTTTCTAAAGATGAACCGACTTCTCAACTCCGTGTACTTCAAGCCGTGCCACGTGACCCTGTTGACGAACTCGACGTACAACTTCCGCCAAGGTGGCAGGACCTCACTTCCGGCTGCCAGCAAAGGATCGGATCCATAGTTGAAAAAACTTTTGCAGCACGATGCAACGCCATTGATGCCTGGTCGGTGGGTGTTGTTGCATTACCACATGTTCATCACAAAATTATCTTTTCTAAATTTATTTATATTATTTTGAAATTTGTATGTAATATTTGTTATTAACGGTTTTTTGAAGTTTCATCACCATTATAATCGTTATTAATCTTATGAGTGAAGAGAAGCTTGCAAGACTGTATAAACTATTGCATTTGTAATTAAGTTCTTGATTTATTTCTATCATGGCGCGTTAAATGTTCTATGTTGAAATATAATTTCGAAATATAAATGTATCAAAGAGATATGTACAATTATTTTTGTAGGTAGTAAAATATGACAATATCAAAACATGTTTTGATGATTAGATGTATATTTTCGCGAGAACAATTCTTTACCCAAGAAACGCTCTAATCACAATTTAGGACTATGGATACGCGAGCGTAGGAAGAAAAAAAACCATAGAGCTAATGAAAGTTTAGACTTCTTTTTGTATTTCGTAGAGATAAATATATTGTTTTAAATGTTATGATTCTTATGTTATGGCTTATTTTCTGATAAAATCTTAAAATTTTATAATGACTGATGAGAGTAGCCATGCAGTAGCTATTCAGCCTTTAGAAATGGTCAAACACTAAATTTTGGCCATTTGGTCAAGACAAACATTCTGGGCGTTTTAGTAGTAGCATAAATACACATAATTGAAGAAGTACAGATACGCAAAATAACCTAGAACGTTACCTTCTTCGTCAACATCGTTTACAAAAAAAAAAAATCTTACATACGGAAGTACTATTAAAATGTTATGAACACCTAGAAAGAAGTAGAATTAATTGTGGAATTGTTAAATGTACGCAAACTCACAGGCGTCTATGCAGTTGCCACATGAGACGCGGCAGTCGTCGGCTTTGTAGCCACACTCCTGAACGCAGGTGGGCTCTTCCTCTTCGAAGTATTTCGACATTTTCCGCAGTCGCTTTTAGATATTTTTATTTATATTTTTTCTAGATTACTTTTTTGATTATTTCTTAATATATAAAAAAATAAACTTTCAGCTTCAATATTAGCTAAAATATTACATAAAATTTTAATGAAAAATAGCTGGAAATTAGGCAGCCGCTAAATTAAACAACGTTATTTAGTTTTCAAAAATAATCGACCCATTTAATATTTTGTAGAGAAAAAAAATATAAAACAATAACTGATCAATGAAACCGAATGTTCGCGAGTGATAACTACATAATAAATATAAATGTATATATATATAAATGATAAAAAGTGAAATTAATTTCTAATTAAAGCAGGAAAAAAATCTACAGACAATTAATCAAATCAGAATTGGTATAATTATATAATTATCATTTTTATTTTTAAATAACTAACAAAAATTGAGAATAAAATTTACAGCTCGGATCAAATCGATCGACTGAATAAAAGTTTCTCAGGTAACATCACCAGAGTCATTAGCAAGATATAGTCAAGCTTATATATGTACGCTGATAATAAATACATTAGCGTCATGTTGGTATCAGCGTCGTATCTCATTGAAAACTTCGTGGCAGCAACAACATTATTCATCGCAATAATATTTATTATAATTATAATTTGTCGAAAAATATGAATAGTAATAATAATAATTATTGCTATTATTTATTTTATTATCGTTATTTGTTTTTGGAATCGTTGTTGTTGTTACTGCTGCAGTTTTTGTTGCTGTTGTTGTTTTTTTTGTTGTTGCTTTTGTTGTTGCTGCTGTTGTTGTTGCTGCTGCTGCTGCTGCTGCTACTACTGATGTTGTTTTTGTTGTCTCGTCATCGTCGGGGTCACTGTTGTTGTTGTTGCTTTTGTGGTTGTTGTTGTTGTTGTTTATGTTTCAATATTGAGAAGTTAATAAGCGAATTATCAAAAAAAATATAATAAAAAATGCATTAAAAATAAGAAACATAACTAACAACACAAATAAAAAAAACTTTCTTGAAAGAAGGACAGAATGAAAAATAAAAAACAAAAGAAAGAAAGTAAAAAGCTCAAGTGCCCAACGGCTTTTGGAATTAAATTTTAATGGCGCGCTATATGATGTCTCAGTGATCGTATCATAATTATTATAAATTAATATTACAATTATATTATAATGTATTTGACATATAATATTTAATTTATATATATATCTATTTATATATATATATTATAAATTATATATGTCATTGGAGAATGTGAAGCATTATGAAATGATATTTAAACAACGGGTTATAATGACGGTAAAATGATGAAGATGATGATGGCGAAGATGACGATGATTGTTACTCGTATGATAATGATGATGAGGATGATGATGACGAGGATGATGATGACTAGGAAGATGATGTTTTTGTTGATGATAACGATTAAAAAGTTGCGTTTGATTGGTATTGTAATAAGAATGATAATGATAAAGATGATGTCGATGTTGATTATGATTGATTGCTAATAAAATTTTGTTGATTGTTAAATAATATTATTTATGCTAGCTCAGCTAGCAGTTGCGCAGTTATTTTATATTTTTAAAAGGTTGTACTGGGACCTGTTTCAAATGCATGCAGGGTCAAATTTATGAAACTTTAGATGAAGCAAAAAATACATACTATACAAAAAGTGCAATACTATTACAAACAAAAAGTGCATTACTATTACATACAAAAGTGCTATACTATTACATACAAAATTAAGTCGTTTAATTTAACTTATTTATTATCAACAAAATTGACAGCGTTGAACTAGTTCAGTTGTTTCTTCGAAATTAGTTGAAACTATTCTGCCATGTGGCACTTTTTGTTAATTGCACTCCTTGCACTAGTAAGGTTATAAGTTTTGTTAGATGCATGCGTACTCGTACAGTACGATACGAAAGAATGTTAGGTGCATATGTATCGCAACATTATGGATTTTGTTATGTGGTTATACTACCTTTTATAATTATAAAAATTGCCAACTAATTAAACAAACAAATTAATTAATTAATTAGCAGAAGTAAAGTGATTTAAGTTTATTAAAAGCCTAATAGCTTAAGCTTTCTGAAGTTTTAGGAACAAATGGGCAGACAAAGACATGCTTCTGTACTGATAAACTTGAAAATGGGAGATGAATGTTTGTATCAGTACAAGATTGAATGAGAATGAGTAGGCCTAGTAATTTGATTGACACGTTGTTTACAACTAGCAACAACAGCAACAAATACAACCAGCAAATGGCACGAACATCAACTACAACAACAATAAAATGACTAAAAAATCATTCGTCGCTTCATAAATTTGAATAATTCTCTCTTAATTCTCGCTCAATTCGGAAAATTGACTCCCGCCGACAAGTTTTGCACCGACAAACAATGCAACAGCCAGCTAAAGTGCTTGCTATTCATTTGTAGCACGCAGAGTTAATTAGGATCCACGAGAATTGATACTATTTCGTCGTATCTATTCTTTCATTGAGTCTTATTTCTTATTTTTCTTCTTATTATTATTATTATTGTTTTTCTCTTTTTTTAACCGTTCGTTTTTATTTTTGTTTTTATACTGTATACATTTTTAAAGTCAACACTTGTTTTTCATACTTGTATAAATGAACTAAATAGAATATGGAAAATCGTTTGTTTGCTGGTTGCTGTAAGTATATATCAGGGTTGTTAGTATGGAAGTACCGCCATATAGCAGATAATGTGTTCGCAGATAATGTGTTCGCGATACTTTATCAGTAGTGGCTTTGGTGTCGAATCTACTTATGATGAAAAAAGACAGAAAACAATCAGATAGAGGTACTGTCAAGAGTCATTAGGACATACATTTATTAGTGAATATATCAAACTTTAAATAGGGAAACCGAAGTTTAAAACCAAGTTTTGCCGTTTTGGGGTGTTTGTGAGTGTTGTTGTTGGTGTCGGCAATTCATTTTAAAGTGGTTAGTTGTATTGGTAATGGGGAGACACTTTTTTAGATTTGCTACCCAATTGGATTTCATAAAAATGACGGTGACTCGAAGTTTAAAAGAATTATTTATTTATTACCAAATAGTTTTCTAATAATTTGCACAATTATAGATTTATGAATTATTCAAGATGTCATTTAAGTCAAAATTAGTCATCCCCATTTTATTAATTAATTTGACAATCAGTAATCTAAATATAACGTTCATATGGCAAACAAGCATTCTTTCAATCATTATTATCAATCGATCATTCATTCAGTTAATCATTTATTCATTTATTCAATCTTTTACTAGTTCATCATTTAATCAGTTAATCAACCGTTTATTTATACATCAATCAAATCAATCAATCAATAGTTAAATCATTCATTAAATCAATCAATTAATCCTTAAATCAATCAATAAATCGATCGATCAATCGATCGATCGATTAATGAATCGACCAATCTTTAAATCAAACCCTAAATCAATCAATCAACCATATTCTTAAACGAACAACCAGAATTGACCATGGTCAGTAACTTCAAGACGACATTTCTTTGTTTCGTGGTCTCGTCAGTCTCCCTGAGAAGTAAATCAGCTGATGGAATCTCGAAGCTTACTGGCTGACGAAATAGGTTGGGCCCAAATATCGTTGCCAGGTTTCCTAACGTCATGCTGTTACACTCTTTCTGGTTGGCCACCCTGGTTTGTTGAAGAAAAAAATTGCGTTTGATTTTGATGGATGGATGAATGTTGTCAAGATAAATTGAAAAGTTACATTTTGAAATGAAAAATAAATCAATTGAATTTAAATATATACGTGAAACTATAAAACCACTTATCATTTACAATGATATAAAGTCATTTCAAATTGATTAGGCAAGCACATGTCTGCAAGAAATTTGAATTCATTTTGATTTAAAGTTTGTGGCTAAATAAATTAAACAAGATTGGACCAATCAAAATTTAAAAATCATTTTAAAAGGGGCGCTAAAAACAATAACTTCTTCCTGCATATTTTGTGTTATTAATTTTCGATCATTACTGACCATTGGCAACATTTAAGAAAAATTTTTCAATTCAAACTTTCAAATCTTATTATCTGATGATAACTTTGAATATTGAGTAAAATAAAACCCTAAATAATATAATAATTAATTCTTAGAAATTGAAATATAGAAATTTGTGACTGGCGTTAAGAGCGACCTACCTGTTCAGGTGGTTAAGGAGGAATGTTAAGGTCTTCAAGTTACAGATTGGCAGTCTGCCAACTTCTCTGATTAGATGTTCTGATTGCTCATCAGGTTCCATGTCTAAACCTAGTTCGTTCGTATGTTTGTTCGTTCGTATGTTTGTTCGTTCGTATGTTTGTTTGTTTGTATGTATGTTTGGTCGTATGTATGTTTGTTTGGTCGTATGTATGTTTGGTCGTATGTATGTTTGTTTGGTCGTATGTATGTATGTTTGTTTGCTTGTTGTTTATTAATTATTTATTGATTCTTTGTTTCAATTATTTGTTTTTGTTCATTCGTTTATGTACTGAACTGTTTGAGAAATTTCTTTTATTTTTTTAAATTTTGAATAATCACATATGTTAAGTCAAACCACACGTTTATTCATTTCTACGTTCATTCATTCATTCATTAATTCAACCATTCTTTCTTACGTTCATTCATTCATTTATTAATCCATTAATTCATCCATTCATTTATTCACACAACAATCAAACCAATTAATGACAACAAGACCGACTGTTAATGAATGTATGATATCTTGAAATCGGGATGAGTGAATCTGGGAGCTCTCTGAAGAAGAGTTTGATGACGCCCGTGATTATGTGAACCGATGATGTGGCCAGCTGACCCACTGCTGATTTGCAGTCTGGTGGGGGGGTGTGGTGATATTTTTTTTTATTATTCTTTAAAAATCAGGATCTGACAGACGCAGAAACTGTAACAACATGCAAGGCAGTAGTACAAAATTAAACAAATAAGTGAGTAAATAAATACAAAAAGTGAGAAAGAAAAATTTTAAAACTTGAAAAATGAAATAAGTTAGAATAAAATAAATAATAATAAAATAAATAAAAGAAAAAAAATCATGGTGATCATGGTGTTAAAGCTACATTGTAAAGATGGTGATGTTAATGATGTTGAATTTGCGTTGTGAAAATGATGATGTCTATAGTGATATATATAGTTCTGTTGTGATAATGTTTATAATGATTAAGTTCTGCTGTGAATGTGATGATGAAGATGACGAAGATGACAATGGCTTTAATTTATGGGTGTTTATAAGAGACGTCTATGGAATTCATGGTGTTGAGGATCAGAGGATAAGCTAATCCATTCATTACTAGCTATAAAATTTTAAAAATATTATCGAAAATTGCAGAATACTTCATAAATTTTGTATGAGAAAACAAAAACTAAGCACAGGAAGCTTTAAAGATTTGAAATAATTTCCCGTCTTTCTAAAAATTTTGAGCAATAAAGATTAGGTTAGTGCTAAAATAAACAATGATCATGATATTTAGATAATAAATGATAATGATAGAAAAATGATAAAAAGTGAACAACGATTAAATATTTATTTAATCATCGCTGTGATTAAAAAAATAAACCTTCATCAAACATTATCTTCAGCTTGTTGATAGCTGCATACACTCCAGATACTCTGTACAAGCCCAGGTCTTTTAGGCCTTGACACGATAATTACAATTGAAATTATAATTGGATAATTAGTTTAATGGTTAGTTGTGAATAATAATCAATTAATTGATAATTTCATAATTAATTAATTACTTCCAGGGTTGTTTGTTAAAAATACTTAAACACTGTACCGTCAATAACGATACCAATACCGATTTCAAAATACGTTGTCGATACCAATATCATTTTTTTTAAATATTGTCGACAATAGCATTAGCAGCATTCATTATGTAGAATTTGTTGAGAGCCAGCAGGTAAGAAAGAAAGCTGTCTAGTCTAGTATGCGTATTTTTCACACTGTGCAACAGGAAACCAACCGAAATGTCATCCACGCTAAAGTTGATGTGGGCGTAACATGAGAATAAATCAATGGGATGGGATAAGTTTTAAAAACAAAAAACGCCGAAACTTAATTTTGAATCCGAAATTTTACCAATAACAAAACGCGTTAAACTTTGAAAACCATGTATAATATATATATATATATATATATATATATATATATATACATATATATATTTATATATATATTCTAGACTATTCTAGACTATTCTATTAGTTTATTACCAACATATATATATATATATATATATATATATATATATCCATTGACCCTTGAAAGTTTCGGTATCTAGTATCGATTTTTACTGTATAAAAAGTATCGGCAATGTCATGTTTAATATTCGGCATCATAAATATCGGCAATACCGAAGTCAATGACTGAGAAAGTATCGCCGCCTTTGCGCCTATGCTTAGAACCGGGCCTGATTGTATTTATTGTATTGGATTGTATTGTATACCTTGCATTGTATTTATTGTAATGTATTTTATTGTATATTAAAACAACAGATACCTCGTTTCTCGAGTTCCTCGATACAAGATGATATTAATATGGGCACTTGCATGTTCTCCCGACTGAATGTGTTGAAGATTTTTGTAAACTTTTTCAATTTGATGTAAATAATAATAATTAGTCGCTTAATTTAGAACAGAAAGTATTCGAACAAAGTCATCGTGAAACAACAGCGCGAGACACGGCATTTCTACAGACTGAGCTTACTCAAATTCATCACCAGTTTGAAAAGTTTCACTCAATCTAAACAGATTATTTTCAACTGTGATAGTAGTGATATTATTTTTCGTTACGTTACACAACTCGCACATTTTTGTATGTGATAGTCAGACTTTGAATTTGAAGCCGGACGTAGTGGCATAGAAAGCGGCGCCTTTAACCACTACACCACAAAATTTTCAGTCATGGCGATGGTAAAACCAACAATACCATTACTAACCTAGTGATTTCGAGCAATGGAAGGCCAAAGTAAAGTTTACTCATTTTCTGTAGGAGAGGGTTTGATTTCGTGGTGATTGTATGTCTGTTGTCCTTGTCGCTTGGCATAAAGGTCATTGAAACTAATAATCTGACCTTGAATTGAGATTATTAAATGAGATGGTGATGATGAGGGTGATGATGAATAAGATGATGATTATGATGACGATGATGGTAATGATGAATAAGATGATGATTATGATGACGATGATGGTGATGATGAGGGTGATGATGAATAAGATGATGATTATGATGACGATGATGATGATGACAATGATGGTGATGATGAATAAGATAATGATGACGGTGATGATGATGGTGATGATGATGAATAAGATGATGATTATGATGACGATGATGATGACGACAGTGATGATAATGAAAAATGATCATGTGTTAACGATTATGATGACTTTGAAAGTTGAAAATTTAGAAAAATACAGTTGCGATTTTATCGATTTGAAAAGTCTTGTTGATAATTTCGGTGATAGAGATGATTGCAATAGTGAGGATGATGATAGTAGAACCAAAAACACTAGCGATGATGATGATGATGATGATGATGGTAATGAAAATGATAATGAAATACAGATGATAGAGATAATAATTTCAACATCAATGATGATGACGAATGCTGATGATAAAAATAATGATGTTGATTATATTGGTGATGACAACGACACGATATACAGACTTCTTTCGTTATATGTAGCTCGTATATCGAAGCCAACTTCAGTGTCGACTCGCTTAACTGCATGTGTGTGTGTGTTTGTGAGTGTGTGTGTGCGTGCGTGTGTGATTTTGATGTTGTTGGTATCTGTTGTTATTTTGTTGTTGTGTTATTTTGTTGCAATGTTGTGCCGTCGTTGTGTTGCTATTATATGTGTCCACAATGTTGCAAGCTTGTGTTCTATCTATCTAGATAGATGTGGATGGATAGCTTTGCTTATATTGGAAATGTGGTTGTGCGTGTGTGTGTGTGCGTGCGTGTGTGCGTGTGTGTTGTTGTTGTCGTGTGTAGTCAGAATTTTGCTGTAACAACTTTTTATACATTTTCACATTAGAGCAAAACTTATTTATGCCATTAAAACAATACAAGCATCATCAATAGTCTGGTCTAGTAGTAATGATAGATGTCGCGATAATCAATTTTTTTCAATAAGAAGAAAATTTGGATGAATAATGAAATAACTCTAACGAGTTTTTTGCCATTAATATATCATTGTTGCTAAATTTAGCAATGCAAAATTAGGTAATTATTATTAGCGATACCACACATCGGATAAAAGTTGTGACCTTCAAATTTGACGTTCCAATCAACGTGTCAAAGTCGAGGTCATTTTTGAGGTAGCATGATATTCTCAGAGTACTCGTGCCCTCTAGTTCGATCTCGAACCCCTGACATTTGAAATTTCGTGGTGGGTTTGTTGGTTGATTAGTTAAGTTCACCGGCCGGTAGTGACGGTTAGTGAGTAGGTGGGTTTATTATTTGTTCACCACAATAATCGTGACGAGTTTAGAATGCGATTTCAAGTTTAAATATTTTATAAGTAACTTTTGATTTATTAATTATCAAACTAATCAACCGATTGTCTAATTAATCTCTCCATCAACTGAATAATTAATCAATCAATCTCACTTTCAAGCCGAATATTTATTAACCTATCAATCAATCAATTAATACATAAATAAATAAAGGAAAAAACAAACAATCAATTAATTGTCTCATCAGATTATCAACCAATTAAAGAAGCAAACCAATCAATTAAGTAACTTATCAATCATTCAACCGATCGATAAACTTAGACATTAGTATTAGTAATTATTCAACCAGTTAGTTAATTGTGATTAATTGATTAATTGACGTATTAATCAACTAAGCAATTAACTAACATATCAATCAAATATTTAATTATCTTATCAATCAAGCAGATAAAAAACTATTTAAATGATCAACCAACCAACCAGTCAACCAACCAACCAACTCACTTCATCCCATTCATAAGACGAGCCTTGACAAGGACTAGTGTTGGCTTGGTGGTAGAAGCGTCCGTAGCTATCGACAAATATGGAGCAAAATGCTGACCAGAGAGCAAGGCAAATTTATTTTAATATTTATAATTTAATTTTAATTTAATTAATTTATAAATTAATTATATTTATAATATAATTTATATTTATAAGTCAATTTATATTTATAATCTAACGTTTTTATTCTTATCCACATATCCAATTTAAAATTATGTTTAGCTAAATATTTGAAGGGTTATTCAATGACCGTTTGAATGTATTCTTACTATATTTCAAACTTCGTTAGAACAAATATCATTATTTACGACATATAATCAAAATAATTTATGCAGGAAAATTTCATTCAACATGTAAATGATAATCAGGGTGCGTCATTCGTGAGTTAAAAATAGAACATAATGACGCAATCACACCCTAGTCAAAATTTTTGGTTAAGTGCTATAGCTAAATTCTTATATGTTTAATACTCTGGGGGGGGGAACCTTTGGTGATATGGTTACGAAGTCAGTTGGAGTTGGAGGTTTTGTTGGAGTCGCTTAAAGGGTTATTGAAAACTTGAAAAACAATTTATCGGAAAAAATATTTTAATAACATAGAAGCGGTTTAGTTTTATTAAAACCTAGAAAACCTGGTTTGCTGGCCAGATGATCTGATAGCTTAAGCTTGTTGATTGTTATCTTCAGAGTGCCATTGATGTGATTTATGTCTGATTGTTAACAAATAACATTTACTTGTTTCATATTTTCAAGATTATTATTATTGTTAATATAATTATTATTATTTATTGAGAATATAACAATAATAATTATTATTATAATTTTAGTTATTATTATTATTTACCTTCGTTTTCAATGTTAGCCGAAGTGACCATCTGGTGCTTATAAAAAATAAATTACATTGAAGCGATTTATCTACATTACTAATGTTAGTAGTTGTAGTTGTACTAGTAGTTGTAGTAATTAAAAGTAGTAGTAGTCGTCGTTGACATAGTAGTAGTAGTAGTAGTAGTAGTAGTAGTAGTATAGTAGAAGTAGTAGTAGAAGTAGTAGTAATAGCAGTATTACTAATAATTTTATATATAATAATATTAGTATCAGGGTTATTAACAACAATACTTAAAAATTGTATCGCCAATACAACACAATACCGGCTTTACAATCTGCGCCGATACCAGTACGGATACCGATGCTAGTTTTTAAAAGTATTTGTCGGCAGGGTTACTTCCAATATTAAAGTTTATAAAACTGTGCTATACAAAAGTGGTTATTTCATTTTTTTATTTTTTATTTATTACTTTTATTTTATCTATAAACAACGCATTCGGCGGTTAATGTACGAATTGATTGCATAACTATAAACTGTTTGAATCATCAAGTTTGAAGCCAGCTGAAATGGATGTTTATGCCCAAGTGAAAAGCAGTTTTTTTTAACTATTGAAAGGAACAACGTGTCAGAACAGTAGGGACAAAACAAATCTTTAAAAACAAACAAGCGAAAGACGGCAAAAATCTAATTTTAAATCCCCAATTTAACGGAAACATTGAAACTTTAAATGAAATGATCATTAATAATAAAAAAAATGTATCCAGCTTTATTGGTATCGAATATCGATATTTTTTTCTCAAAATTATCATTTATATCAAGTATATCCGGTATCAAATATATAGCAGATATCGAAGCGAATACTGAAAAAGTATAGTCGATTGCGATACTTTGATATTAACAACCCTGCCTGGTATTAGTGTCGTTATACTAACTTTAAACTGATTGATAAGAGATGTTACTTGGTTTAAATTAATTTTGTTGGCTGGTTTTTCTGAAAAGAAAAGAAAATAAAAATTTGTTATAAATGACTTCTCTTCTTTTGAAATCCTCAGAGCGTACAAAAGTACGGGTGAATTAACGCATTATACAACTTTGCCTATGATGAGTTGAGATTTGTATTATTATATTATACAATTCTAACATTAAGCCATCCTGAATACATTTTTCCATAATCATCATTCACATCACCATCATTAAATCATAATCACAATGTCATTATCACATCATATCATCATCATTATATACTCACCACTTCATTTTCATCAGCATCTTCATCATCCCATCATCTTCATCACCAACGTCTTCATCACATCATCATCACATCATCATCTTCCTCATCAAATCATCATTTTTATCCTCGTCATCAAATCATCTTCATCGCCATCATCATCTTCATCATCATATCATCATTTTCATCATCACATCATCATCATACTGTTAGATGAATTCTTCTTGATAGCAACAATCCAGCTCTCTCTCTCCATCTCAGTCGATAGTAGTAGCAGATGGAATTTTTTAGATCCGCCATTGAAGACTTTCAGACGCAAGTATGGAGATTTCAAAAATCTTTTTGCCTCCTAATAAATTAAAATCGCATTTATTCCAAATGTTTTTATTCAATATTTTTCTATTTCAAATAATTTTTTAATTTTTAATTATTCAATTTGTTAATTCACTAGGCCTATATTTTAAATTATGAAACTTAGATTAAGGCTTGAAAATTTAAAAATTCTTAAAAAAATTTATAGAAGCTTGATCAATTTTTATTTCAATATTTAAAATCTTCCAAAATGTATTCCAACCATTTCGTTTAACTTCTTTTTATTCGCCTCTGATGACTTTTTTATTTTTGGGTTATCCTGCAGAGGAACGAAAATTTCAAATTAAAACAAATATAGTTAAATATAATAAATATACCTCATAATAAATAAAAATATATATAGAACAGTTTAATAAAATAGCCTTCGAGAACAAAACTTTTAGTTTTTTTTAGACAAAACATTTAGCTACAATCGCAACGCTCCTAACCGCTGCCGTCATCTTCATCCTTCCATCACATTTGATCGCCTCCAAACAATCTTTATATTCTTTATTCAACTTTTTCATTGAAGTTTTGTGCTCGAGAAGATTTTTTTCGTCTGTTTTGTTTGATGAGTGAGCGTTTGATTGAAATTTCAGACTGAATTTGCCTATCGTTTTTTTCCCTTACGTACTTAGTAAAATCTGTAAACAAGAAATTTCTCACGGCAAATAAATATTTACTTTGAGGGGTAATATGATGTCGCAAACACTTTCTGGGGGTTAATGTTGAAGTTCAAGTGCTATAGTTCAATTCCTTAACTAAAACCCAATGTATCTACTGTTATTACTACAACTTATGTTTATACTTTTTCACTTTTTAGAGAAACCAAATTCCCGTTTGGTAGCAACATTCTTAACATGCTGAATAGATAGAGGAATGCATGTCTCCGTTTTCCTGACCAGGTTCAAATGCTGTCTGTTCAAAGCAAAAAGACTGAAAACTATCGAGCACCTTTTTTGCATGAGTGTGTCTGCGCGTACGTGAAAATAAATGTGTATATGTAGCTCAGGTGCAGCGTGTGGCGTGAATTTGCAGTACTTTCAAAGCAGAAAGTTTAACTGCAACCATATGGATAAAAAAAGATGATGTAAGCTGCTCCGCGATTGCTCGAAGTGTATAAAGAAAAAAAAAACCTTCTTCCGTTGAGAACTCGACCTTGATGGCATCCAACGTGATGAACCATCTCACCAGGAATCTACGTTTAAATTCATTTTATTACTTATTTTTATGTAGCCATTATTAAGTTACTTTTCTAAAAAGACGTGAGAGAAATTTTATACTTTAATTGTCTTTCCCTGATCAAGTCTAAATTAATTTAAAAGAAAAAAATTTGAGTTCTTACTTATTATTCCTTTTTTGCTTCGCACAGACGATGACGTCATCGAAGAGGAGGAGATTTCTTAATTTGCGTCTTTGGTTCTCTACCAACTCCACAACCAAATTTTGTTTTAAAAGTTGTCTCTGACCTGAAAATTGAAATTAATTTGCGTCTGAAATAACTTTCTTCACAGTTTCTACGATACTCAACAACGAAAGAATAAAGCTAAAACATACTTGGTAGGGAAAAACAAAATATCAAATAAACCGAATGAAGATTATAATATTGAACTGATGTATACCATGAGGTTTGTTGTTTTCTCTGCTGGTCTCACTGGCGTCTTCTTCAGTAACGCGCGAATATTGTTCGACATTTTCATACCACCACCTTCTCCTCGTCTGACAGTTGTACAGTCTGACTGCCTCGACGTCTACCTCGTTGTCGTCCTCGTCGTCTTTGTCGTCGTAACTGCTGACGCTGCTCAACAAAGATGTCTGGTCGCCGTTGCTCAACTGATTGCTGAGGTTCCGTGTTTTTTCGGGAATTACGGGTTTCACGGTATCATTAAAGTCATCGTAACTTATTTCGCTGATGCTGTTGTTGTTTATGTCCATTTCAATTGAGTCAAAGTTGCAAGCACTGGAGTCAAAAAACTTACTTAGTGACATTAGCGGTGGAATGCGATTTGGAAATTTTTTTTCGGGAATGACTGGTTGCGCCAGATCGTACTTATAGTATATCTCGTCGCCCTCATCATCGATCTTGTCGTTCTTTTCTGGACAAATGACCATCGACTTGATGTTGTTGCTATCATTTAGCGCGCTTTTCTTCAAAGATAAACTTGAATACGTGTTTATGTTTCTTTTGCAACTGTTGTTGATGTAGCTGTTACCCTCGTAGCAGATGTGATCACTGTCGCTGTAAGGAAAGCTAGCGTAGCAATCATCTTCTTCGGCCGTTCTGTTTACGTCAGACACGAACGGATTGGTTGGACCAAGCACCTGTGTCTCAAGTTCTGACCGTACATGTATTTCATCGTACAAAACATCTTCTTCAGGTGTTGGTTTGTTGTTGGTATTGTTGATGTTTTTACTCAAGTTATACATGTCTACAGCCATTGGATCATCGTACTCATAGCCGTCTTCAATATGAAGTGCAGTTTGAGTGATTTCTGCTTTCTCATCATTACTGATGTTTATTGAGCTGGATGAATTGGACTTCGGACTATCGCTACTGTTGTCGATGTGATTGTTGTTGTTTTGTTGTTTTACCATTGGTTTTGGAAAGGTAGCGGGCCCTTTAATGGCAGTTTTAATTGTGGCTGCTGTTGTTACCGCGAGTAAATTGTTATTTGATTCTGTTGTTGTTGTTGTTGTTGTTGTTGAGATTGCAGTTATCGTATTGCCAGTTAGAGGCTTAAAAGCCGCAGTTAGAGTTTTGGTGGGCGTGGTTGTCAAAGAATTTGAAGTTGTCGATACTGGCAATAAGGATAGTTTTGTAAATACAGGATGGTGTAATCTGATTTGATTATTATTGGTTTTTGCCAATGTTTGTTTTGGAGGGGGCACGGGTTTTTTAACCAGCATCCCAAATAGCCCCATTCCAGATTTTAAAGGACCGAGGCTGCTGGCATCAACGTCTTTGTTATCCATCGGTGAACATTCCGCAATATTTCCCGTTACGTTTGGTGAATTTTTTTGGTTGGAATCAATACACTGTCTGTCCATGAGTGCCGACATCTGTAAGTAAGATTTTTAGGGGTAAAAATCTAAGCGAAATGAAGCACTTACTTGCCTCCGTACTTTAGATTCACATTTGGTATTTTTGCAGGTAATTTACTTCTTGTTTCAGATTATTATGAGCCTCTAAGACCAGTTTTTCAATTTAACATACATACGGACAAACGTGTAAGCATGTAAATTTATATATTTATAAATTATATATATATATATATATATATATATATATAATATTATAAATATATGTGTGCGTGCGTGTGTGTGTGTATGTAAGATTAGAATGACAAATTTACATGTATAACTTCCTTAACATAACACGATTCAGAGAGCAATAGCCAGACAATGCATTCTTCTGCCCACAGTATTATTCGATGGGTTGTGCACAATGAAATGATAAAATAATGCTTATAAAAAAAACTACTCATCAATTATATATAATAATTATAATTAATTTATTTTATGAACACTTAATTAACTAATATTAGTAAAAGTCTGTACATGTATTTAATAGTTTTATTCATTACATGAGCATATATTATGTGTGTGTTGTATATTAAGCACCAGGTATGTAAATTACTTTTTGAATCAATGTATATATAGCAAATATTATGAAATTTAACGCATTTTATTTTCATAATAATTACAAATACATATTGTCAATTAGTTCATCTAATTGAAACAATTCTCAGTGTGAAACAGTTTATGATTTCATTCTTTACTTCCTAATCCTAAAAACATCATTTTAGGAGATTGGTACCATTTAGAACCTGTCAAACGTTTTTTATTCCTTCTCGTTATACCCGTCTAAGTTCAAGCGTTTGTTTTAGCTCCCAAATCACGATATATTTTTTTATAAAGCAATTTAACCGTTTTGCTATTTTTTAACTACAATTTAATTTATTCTACATTATAATTATAGTTTTCTTTTTTATAACTTTCAATTTGATCATAATATTGCGAGTAACATCGGCGAAGTTGTGGTTACGCTTTTTTTAGAAAGAAAAATCTTTTTTTAATATCTAATTTAATTTTAAAATTTTAATTCTAATTCAAATCATATAAATATTAATATAGTTATATATAATAATTAATTTAAAAGAAATAAAGTAATCAGTTCATACTTTCATAGGACACCGAATTCTCTTTAATTAATAACTGTCATTGATTTGGAGGCAGTAGGTAGGTAGTTTGAAAATATTTGACAACATTCAACAAGATAATGTTGTTATGGCTTCCAATTGAGAATTGACTGTCTACTAATCTAAATTAGTAAATGGCTTTTGAACCGAATGCGAATCACATTGGAAAATTGTCGAACGATCCAGGCAACCAGATCAACAAACCCATAATGCATAACAACAGTAGCAACAACAACAACAATAACATTAACATAAAACAGGGAAGAACCTTTAACATCCTCATTGGCTGCACAGGCAGTGTTGCCTCTCTCAAAATTCCAAAACTTGTTGAGGAACTGCTTGCAAGCAAATACAAAGTTTGTTTAATTTTTGTTTTTTTTTGTTTATTTCAATGAAATTTAACTATTGGTATATCAAACATTACACATAAAGAGAAAAAAAACATAAAATAAAAAACTTATCAGGTTTGTGTAAAGATTGTGACCACAAAGCATGCACAGCACTTCTTTGATAAGAACGTCCTCCCTGTTGAAATATTCTGCGATGAAGATGAGTGGACAGTCAGTAGATGATTCTCCAACTTTTATTGTTGTTCATTGTGTCCATCTGTATTTATCTGTACATTTGGTAATTCATTATATCCATCTCCATTCCAAAGTATATTTCTGTTTATACTTGAAGATAACTTTTTCTGTACCATTTTATTTTTCTAAACATTTTTTTCCACCTGTCTAAAAGCATTGAAACAATTGCATGACCCTACAGACATGGAAGAGTGTGGAGGACCCAATCTTGCACATTGAGTTACGAAGATGGGCTGACATCCTGGTTATAGCTCCTCTTGATGCCAACACACTGGGCAAGATTGCATGTGGTCTCTGTGACAATCTGCTGGTAGGTGCATGATTGAATCTGAGTGTAATAATCAGGATTGGTCATTTTGATGCATTGTACGATTGAATTCAAGTATTTTTTGTATGATTGAATTCAAGCAATTTCTTCTTTCTGTGTACTCTTCCAAAGTAGAATGACCAGCATATGTAGTTTTAATGAGGTGCCTGCAATGAATTAGCACCTTAGGTTGTTTCGCTTGTAATTATTTCACTACGTATTCCATAAATTAAAATGGCCATATTGTACAGGTTGTTAGGAATTTAGTTAGAAATTTAAGCAAATCCATCATTATCTTATTCCATTTTTGAAGGTGAATAATAATTTCATACATAAATGTTGTGATAAATTTATGTTGTCACTTGATCAACTGATATTCACAACATCAATATGACCGATACATGTTCTTGACACTAATATAACTAACGAATATTCAGAGTATCAGTGTGACTAATAAATATTAATGACATTGACAGACGTGCATAGTGAGGGCCTGGCAGCCTGACAAGCCCCTATTGTTTGCCCCTGCCATGAACACAATGATGTGGAACCATCCAATCACAGCCAACCAGGTGCAGGCACTCAAAAGTTTTGGGTACAAGGAGATACCATGCATTGAGAAGGTTCTTGCTTGTAGAGACAAAGGTATCAAATTATAATTTTTTTTGATTTTATTTTTGTTCATTTGTTTAATGCTGCCATGTTTTATAGACATTCAATATGCAAAGTTGAATAAACTCAATTTTTGATACCGCTGACGGAGAATAATTTGCAAAAATGTAACAAAAAAGGTCTTGGAGCAATGGCAGAGACGGCAACGATCGTGAAGAAAGTTGAGGAGCACTTAGAGAAAATGTCATCCAATCATTATTATTACTTCTACTGAATTGTTGAATGCCTCAGGGGAAACAACACTTCACTGTTAACAACAACAAAGACGTTTTCATTACCATTTATTATTTTACTACATTCACATACGTGTACTGTCAGCATTATATTTAGAAATATAAATTTTAATACTTTTCAGTAAAATCAAATAAACATGAACAATATGTAGAAATATACATACATGGCTATTATATTTACACATACACACACAAAGGAATAGTAATACTAATACTAAATAGTATTAGCTGCATATACAAGAATTATCTTCCAATCCAGCAAACCTTTTTCGGCGTCATAGCTATGTCATTTAAGTGCAAAATTTGTAATGGTTTCTTTCAACAATTTCTTCATAGACGTTACGAGTGTTGCAATTGTTCAAGCTTTGGGAAATTTGGTCTACCGTCATTAAATTTTATTAATAGTAGTTTAGTTAGTTATGTCAACATTGACGACTGTACATTAGTCGGTTTGGAATACAATTGTGTGTATACATGCTAACTTTTCGATTTATATTTGTTGTTAAAATCATGCATACAGCCCTTATATGTTTGTTGTAAGCAGTGCTTAATTTTATATAGACTACTGAAAATACATTTGTTTATATGAATCTAACTGCGTGCGACTGTAAGTGTGTGTGTGTGTGTTAATTGCATTGAAAAATTATGTCTCAGAAGCTTATTTTTGTTTGATAGATTTTTGTTTGTTGGGTATTTTATTATTCTTTCATTGACCAGTCGATCATTTTAACGAGGTCAAAAAATAAATCGGAACCGTCAAACAATCCATCACCTATCTCATTGGCGTCATCGTCTTGTCACCGCAACCAATTGATATCATTATCTTAGTAATTTCTTTACATTATTTTACAATGGTAATATTATTTGACAGTTATGAAGGTAGGTGGATGATACGTAAGGTGCGTGTTTGTTTGGTTGCTACCTGGTTTCGTTATCAGTGTATGTTATATGTGTTTACTCAACATATAATATATTAAGATATATGTATATAATGTTGGATCATGGTCTTACATGTTATTACATCGTTTAACTTTTGAAAAAAATATCATTTATACTAGAAATCTTGCGTCGCTTAGCTTTTGCAGCATCATACGCAGTCGGACCTCCTTATAACGAACTTCTATATAACGGAAATCAAAATATAACGAAATTTTTTATGTCCCTTGGCATTTCGCATATAAAACTCTTTCCGCAGAACGAAAATAATTTCTCTATAAGGAAGAAAATTTATAAAAGTTAAAAGAAATATTTAAAAATTAAAAAAAAAATTGTTGAACATAGTAAGCTGTAAGTTTCATTTCTACAATACTATTTCACCTATTAAGCTTTTTGCTATATACATATCATGTTAGTATACATAGTACGCATAATTTTGTTTTTTTTTAAATGTTTGCAACTATACTATACTATATTTCCTATCATAAGAATAAATGATTTAGAGATTGTATTTATAACTATATAGTATATAAGTGCTTTTTAAGAAGTATAGAATTTTTTACTAAAATTATATATAACGAAATTTCTATAAAACGAATTTATATGCTGAAATCATCAATTTCGCCGTACGGAGGTCCGACTGTATTTATTATACCATAAATGTTAATCATGTTTGTACATGTACATACACACATACATACATACACACATACACATACTCATGTAATGATAGATAGAAGGTTGTGCGGATCTAAAAAAAAAAAGAAGATTAACGAGATGGTTTAACGAACGGTGGTAGATTTATGTATGTATGTATGATGATGATGGATTGAGAATTAGTTTTGATGTTTCGTTTTGACGTCTCGTCCCGTGATGTAGGAGGCGGTTCCTGCCGTCAGTTCAATTACGCTGTTTTCCCTCCGTTGTTGGCGTATTTCTTCACCCTTGGGAGGAAAAAATTCCAAAAAATTTTCCGTTATTTATTTCTTTCATAGTAGTTACGCATATCTATAACTGGAATGATATTAAAGTGTAAAGCAAAAACTAGCATACATAATTGAAATCAGGAGTGTCGAATATTTTTGACAAGATTTTTGGTGATGTGGATGAATTGTGCTTATAAATTAAAGCACTGTTTTTGGTTGAGATGTCTTCAAGTAACGAAATTTCAAAATTAAAGATAAATTAATTAGCTAATTAACTAATTAATGAAAATATTAAAGAACAATTAACCGTAACTCACATCATCTGTAGTAAATATTGTGCATACATTATCTGCTCCGGAGTGCCTACAATGGTGATGATGCGGTCGTCAGAGTCTACACTGGCCTCATCCATCTTGATTCTCGTTCCAGACTCCTGTTGCACCTGAATACGTTACATTAGTTTTTTTTAATCAATTAATTTATAATATCATCACCATCAATTTAATGATGAGTAAATTATATTTTAATGATAATTATAATTAGTTTTCTATAATTATGCCGTTAATTATTGTGTCAATTTTATTTATATGGTCAATTTTATTTCTATCTGAGATCAGGGTAAATGATTTATACCTGCTTGATACGACTGCCTCCCTTCCCTAGAATGGCGCCAGCTAACTGTAAAACAAGTAGAAGTATAAATGCTTTCATCGTGGCTGTAATCATATACAATACAGACACGCGGACACCCACACATACACACACACACACACATACATACATACACACACACAGGCATACACACACGCGCGCGCACATACATACATATACGTCATGCGTTGTATTGTTTATTTACTATGTTTGTAGTAGTTACACATAACCATTTAAGATCATTAAAATTCAAATAACTAGAAAGGTATTAGACAATGCCACGACGACGATGATAATGATGGAGAAGAAGATGATGGGTGAGATGACGACGACTCTGATGGTGATTAAAGTGATGTTGTTGAACTTACAGATTTCGGTATGCTGACTTGTGATACATCTCTTGGAAAGTGTGGTGGCTGGAAAAAAATTTTTCCTCACTTAATTTAATTTTAATAATTTAATTTAATTTAAAAAAAATTGAATAATTGAATTTTTTAAATAAGAAATTATATAAAATGCAAATGCAAAACACCTATAGATGAAAAAAGTATAGAAATACTTTTTGTAAAATAAAGTTGCTATTGAAAATTTAAATTAAAGTACTTGATTGTCGTCAGATGTTTGCTGCTTGTTGTTGTAAGGTTGCTGTTGCTGGTGTTGTTGATGTTGTTGGGATTGATGTTGTTGTGGTTGTTGGTCTTTTGCATGCCTGTCATCCGACTGATTCTTTCTGACTGAACCTCTGCTAAAGAATTCAAAAATATAGAATCCAAAAAATCATCAAGAAAAAATATAACTAAATATGAGTAAAATTAATAAAAGTTTATTTCATAAACAATAATTATTAATTAATTAATTAATTAATTAATTAAAAGAAAACAATATCCAAAAATTTAAACAAATAACCTCTGTGAACTGGCAGCAGTATTAGCATGTGGGCTATCCTTCTCCCCCTTTTCCTCCCTATCTCTCATCTTACCCTTACCCATGCCTCCACCTCTCTCTTCTTCGTATCCTCCATACTTGCTGGCCAGGGAGATGTCGTAGTAGTCAGGGTTGTATGGCATTTGTGGGCCTTTTGGAAACGACTGTGGATATTATTTTATGTTGGCATTTGTGTAATACGGTATCATGTTTTTGCTTTTTTTAAACACCATTGAAAAAAGCAATAAATATTTATATATAATATTGATAATGAATAAATTGATAAATAACTAATATTAAATACTAATTAATCTACAGGTAATTTAATAAATGAATGCCAACCCCGGATATGAGTTTGTAGATTGCCTCTACGCATGAACTGATCTGATGTGCTGAGCCGTTGATTTGGATGATGCGATCGGACGAGTTTGGGCATACAACGACGTGTATCCTCACCTGAGCTCCTGTATCCTGCAAAGTTTGATATACCAATCAACATGATATAATATAATTTGATAAAGATAATTTATGATATAATATAATTTAGTAATATAGTTTTTTTTGTTAAGCAGATAGGTGGGGTATTATTATTGACTTTGAAAAATTGTGAAAAATAATTTTACATCGGTTCTACAGTTTTAGAAATAATTATAAATAATATTAATAATAACAACAACAACAACGAAACAGGAATGATATACATACAAGCCATCCATCAATGATGAACAGAGTGAAACAGAAATGAGAAACATACATCTCTAAGTTGTTTGATGATGGTGCCACCTTTCCCGATGATGCGACCGGCGTGGCTCTGATGAATGAGTAGACGCAGTTCATGGTGGTCCTCTGTGTTGCTTTTGTCCAGTTGCTAAATGTGCACGAGTGTGTGTGTGTGTTTTATATACACTCGGAATCTAAAAACATATTAATTCCCTATAGATGCAAAGGAGTGATAACTAAAATCACTCTATACTGTGGACAAAAGTTTTTTATGCAAACAAACATTTAGTGATATTTTAAAAGGTTGAAGCATTGACTGCTGAACACACGAATACAATGCATACACAATAAATGAATGGTGAATAGCGAAGAGATCCAAAGGACAAAACAGAACCCATGACACACCTTAGTTAAGGTTGGCAATATGTCTTCCAGGGCATCACAAATGTTTCCAATCTCAGAGGTCATCACAACAAGCCTGATCATGATAAATAATATCTTAAAATAAAATCAAATAATGAAATATTGAAACGAAAAACACTTTATTCAAAAAAAACGATTTTGTCTAGATATTGAAAAAATTATGATTAATAATTATCATTTGTGTTCAAATTATAATGATGCTTTAATGTTGTTTAACATGGAACCAAAAAATTCGAAAATAGAAAAAAAAATCATCCAAAATATTTTTACCTTTCTGGACCCCTGGAATCTGGAAGAGAAATTCCTGATTTGTACTAGAAAATTTAAAAAATTCAATCTTTCAGAAGAAATGAATGAAATGTAACAAGCAAATGAACAAATAAGAATATAAATAAATGTATATAATCAATTTTGTGTTATAACTTTTTTAAAAGAAGGCTATGAATATAAATAAATCATATAAAAAGTATATATAGTGTATGGAGGAATAAGATGAACATAGAATAGCACCAACAACAGACCGTAGATCTTAATCTTCTGATGTTATCTCCACCTTTTCCAATCACCGATCCACTAATCTGATGAGGAAATGATTTAAATTAATTTAATTAATTTAGAAATTAACCAAATATAATTAATAAAGCAATTATTAAACAGAATATTAATGGAAAATTCAAACAATATTTAATAAAATGAATCTACTGAAGAGAAAAATTCAACGAACCCAACTAGGGATGAGAATTCTGACTTCGGTCTTCTCGTTAGCCCTGTCGTACCTCGACTTCTTTCTCAGTGAATCGTCTCCATCATCGTATAATTCAGGGGCTCGCTTGCTAACCTCTTTTTTGTTTAAACAGATTAAAAAATTAAAATCTTAATTACTGAAAATAAAAATTTAAAAAAAATTGAAGCTAACTTAATCTACATCTTAACATAGCAAAATAATTTAACTGTTTAAAAAATGTGTTTGAACAAACCTCCATCAGCACTCCTTGGGGAATCAGACATCTGTACGCTGTATGTATTATATGAGATGGTGGGTATGTCTACTTACTAGCACTAAAATCAGATGGTGAATATCTACCCACTAACCTAATAAAGATAAAATAACCTTTTTTTAAGCAAAGAATACAATTGAAAAATATCATTTAAATAAAATTAACAAGCTAACTAACTCAATGCATTTTTAAAATAATTATTTATTAATAAAATATTTATATATTATATTATATAAATAATTATATATAATATAATTGTAACTGCTAACTTTACAAAACTTGCTTAGGGCAGTCATAAATAAAGAAATGATTGAATATTCAATATCATTTAGTGATTGCATTACGACTGTGCATACCCATACAACACAAATGATCAATTACACTTTTTATAGGAAAATTCATTAATAAAGTTAAAGTGTTTTGTTTTGTTTGTGTATGATCTATTCTTCATGGTAAATGCCAAATGGCAATGCTTTACTTACGTTTACTTACATAATAAACTTTTTTATATATATACTTTATACTACATAGTATTGTTATCATTTGATTTTTTGATGGAAACAAAATTTTTTAAAATTGTTCTAATTAAAAATATTGCACCTAAAGTCCTAAATATGAGAGACTAAAAAATTAAATTAATTAAATTAACAGTCAATGAGTGTAAGTAAAAATACTAAATATAAAAATAGTACGCAAAAAAAACTGACAAAAAATTATGCCGGGAAAAAACCTGCTGGGACCAGCAAACGACGGAAACTAACAAAAAAGTTGTTTTCAAACATTCAACGGATAGAAATATTTTTTTTAAATGCCGAACACAACATAAACAGTCGATAAAACAAAGCATCATAGAAAAGCGATTATGCCTGGTATTTTATAAGCCACGATGCATAGATAAATGTAACGTACAAATCATATACCATATATATATATATATATATATATATATATTTATATATACACATAGATGGGATTTGCCATATCCCTTATATATATCTATGATCATGTATTTAAAATTATAAGGCATAATATTCACGATTTTTTTACTAAGTAATTGGACACGCTGGCAAACTTTGCAATTACCAATTTCAATTTGTTGCAATTTTTATTCCGTTTTTTACTCCAGCTTTAATGTTACAGACTCAACAGATTCGACGCCAAAGTTCGAGAAGTTAAAAACACACACACCATTATCCAAACTCCGAACCAGCAACCGATAAACTGATTACTTTTAAATCAAATTTAAAGAATTCGTCACAACACAAATCAATTTTCATTTGTATAACTTCCTCAAGGCTTAAAAACTCTACAGGACAAAAAACGTAAAAAATGTTCACATATCATGAACATCCTTCAAGGCCAACTCAGGTTTGTCATAACCCATTTCTTCAGGAGTCAGAACTCCTAAGTCTTTCAAAGTTGGTCCAATCTCCTTCAGCAAGTAAGGCCATATCTTTCCAACATTTGGTCCGCATTTGTCCTGTAGAAACATTAAAAAAAATATATATATATTTATTAATTTATTTAAAATTGCTTACTATGAATCTTGGAATGATGAGGTAAATGATAGGATAATAGACAAGCTGTTTGCATGCAATATTCACCAAAAGAGGTAATTTTTCATACCAGATTATTTATAGCAAATTTAAATTATTTATGTATACAAGAATTTACAGGATATGCACAATTTCAATTTTGATATCTCACTAATCCCTGAATTCAAAGGTGATTTTTGCAGGGTCTGTCATATTTAAACTATACATAAATTTGCATAATTTTTATTACTTGTGAACATTTTTTTAAGTGTGAGAGTTGAAAATATACCTTTACTGCTTCAAGATATCTGACAGCCAGAGCATAATCATTGACTCGTCTGCAAGCTTTCAAAATTGCAACAATGATTTTAGGCTCGGGAACCAAATCATATCCATGAAGGTCGTTGATACCCTTCCTAATCTCCCATCCATCAATTTTAGAATTATTGAAAAATCTTTCATACCTGTTATCAAATTCAGCTTCAGATTCCTGGTGGCCGTGAGCACATCGGACGGCTGTTACAACTAAAGAATTTAATTTTTCTAAGTTATCCATTTGATCAGGACTTTGTTCCATAAAATTAATTCAAATAATAATTTAATTAATGTTAATCCTCTAACTATTTTAGTAAGCCATCAAAATTTGAAAAAATATAAAGGTTGATAATGATAAAGAAACTAATTTTAAATAAGAAAAAGGTAAAATCCAAAAACTAAAACAGACAATTTCTCTTGCCAAAGAGTCAAGACAAAACTCTAGAGAGTTGTCAGTTGTAAAATAAATTTTTAAATTTAAAAACTATCAAATTGTCATTATTAGTCAGATTTTTAAAATAAGTGTGTGAACAATGAACATCAACAAATGAACAAGAAAACAACAAAGATAGAACAGATGGAAGAACTAGTTGTCACATCCTGACAAATGAGTAAAATGACCAGATCTCGACATGACATAATAATACCATATATATAATAATTATATTATAATTATAATATAATCATACTGGATAACTGACATACTCATACAACACACACACAAACATTTTTTTTAAAATTCACACAACTCAACTAAATAACTTATCACAAAAAAATTGGAAACTTACGAGCTGGACGAAAAGCTGCATTTTTCAAGAGCGATAAATTCAAAAATTTTCTCAGCGCCATGCCAACCAAATAGAAATTATGCTAGTTCTTCACTAAATCTAAACTGTTTTTTCTGGAGGTCAGTGCGTAAAAATCCACTTTTAAGCAGAATTTCCGCAATTATTATTAATAAGTAAGACTGGTATTTGAACCAAAAACAATAGACTTAAACTGTAACTGTAGATGTAACTTATATTTCATTAGTAAGTTTTGATAAATATTTATATTTTCTTCATTTGTTTTGACTAAAATTAGATACTATGCAAAACCCATATATTTAGAATTAAATACAAACCAATATTGAAAAACATTTTATATCCATGAAAAACATACAAAACCAAACAAGCTATTTATTTCAACTCAATTTTATCAATTCAATTTTATTCAGAAAAACCATGGAGACATAGAAGCTCAAACGAGCTTGTACAGCCACCCAAATCAAATAAAACCAAATTTATTCAGATCATAATAAACATTTCGGTAAGAGATATTTTAGTCTAAGGATTATTCCTTGATTTTTAGATACTTTGTTTGATATACTAATTGTGTGCTCTTAGATTGCTTGAGATTGAACAACTAGAAAGATTAATTTGTCCAATGGACCTACCCAATTGTTATTGTAGAAAATAAAGAACGTTAGTAAATTGATGACAATTTTAGGACTAAAAAGAATCGGATAAGTTTTTGATAAATTAATTTGCAATTTATTGTTTATTTGTAAACAACAGTTTATTTGTATATATAGTATGTGTATATAATATATATGGTGATGATAACACATCTAAACACACATTTACATATACATTTGCAATATACATGTAAGCCTATGTATGTGTGTTTATGGACGTGTAGGGCATTGATTGAACTAACTTTCTTTATTCAATTCCACTGAAGTAATTTGGAGAAGCTGATGCTTGCTTGGCTCTATCAACGTGGACTCCAGAGAGACTCAGCTATTGTCATTAAATACACATACATACTCACACACGTACATACATGCAAACAGACGAAAAAACCAAATTTTTTTATTCTGAAAACTTTTGAAAATTAAAAATTTAATTTTGCGGGCGGTTGTTTAAAAACGCACTTGAATCCGTGACAAACCGCACAGACAAAATCAGCAAACCGCAAAATCCGCGTAGTTTTGAGAGTTTGAAACCACATTCCGGATATCCCCTTGGGACTCTATTTATTACCAAGGTATGCATCAAGCATTTACGTTGTGCAGTGTCACATAAATATGTCTTAAAAAACTCCGCCATAGGAATTGCTCAATGAAATATTGTATTTGAGTGGGATATTGCATTGACTTAAGTTCATAATTTTTAATAAAGTGATACACAAAATATACAACCAATATATAATAGAAGGATTTTATTATCAAAAGGTTTTATAAAAAATATTGAAATCCTAAGCAAGGCACAATATGAACGTATGCAAAATTTGAAACCAACTTTAAGATATATATGACAATTAGGAATAAAAATAATTCAATAAAATTTTTTGACATACAATCACTTTGAAACATAAATATATAATTGAGAACCTGATATGAAAAATGACAGGAATGGTATACTGTTTGTAAATAAAAAATACATTAATATTAATAGGATATTTTGAAAAAAAAGAAATTGGACCGAAGTTATATATACATTAATGAAATACAGAAAATATGAATGATAAACGTTGAATATTATTTAAATAAGCACAACTGAAAAATGTTTCATTCATTGAAAACATTTGACATAAAAATCTAAGTTTTATCTTTTCTAGTAAAAGACCTTAACGAAAATTCTTTTTTTAAGTTAACTACTTTTTTATTTTTGGGCTTATTTTGATCATCACTGTCAGTGTCCAAGAAGACATGATCATTTTTATCAGAAGCACATTGTTGAAAATTTTTATTAAAATCTGACTTCCTCATACCACTGGGTGATATGGACCTCAGAAATTTCTTGAATGAGACAGAAGACAATATGCCAAACTTTTGCTTGTTAGTGTTTGATGAACACATTAAGGCAACAAGTTTGTCATTTTTGGCAGCATCGAAATCGTAATTGGTAATCTGATCATAGGTCAATTTCATTTCGTGAACATACACACAGTTGACCTCCTCTTTACAACTGTCATTCATTGGCCTGTTCTCGTATTTTTTGGCAACATAGTACTCACTGGCTTGGCTGAAACTTTTATTCATCGGTGGGGTATCTAAAGCGTCCGACAAAACTGATGGCGAATCCGTCATGGACGAGAAAGATATCTGAGTTGCATGGCCGCCACCGGTAGGTATCTTCATCGTCGTTGAGGAGTCATCGGTGGAAGAATGATTCTCAACAAACGTTTTCTTAAACATTTTCATTTTAGAATTAGTTGTTTGAAGGCAATAGAAAATGTTGTAAATAAATTCAAACAAAATTTCTAGCTCATTTTACAATCTCTAGACGACAAAACAGCACGGCAAGTAACGAAAAATGAACTTAATCTTAGTTTTTTTTTTTTAATTCAGATGCATGACTAAAGACACATAACTAAAATAAATATAATGGCCTTCGCTCACTTTTAACGGTCGAACAAGGAGCTTCCGGAAGATTTGGAGGGTGATTTATTATCGTTCGAGTCAAGAGTCGGGCTATTTGACATGCTTGGATTATTGGCTTACGAAATTGCAGGGATTTTAACGAGCAAGCTATATAAAATATTTACTTGACTTAATATGCTTAAAACATTGTAGTAATTGGCTTTAATTTTATTAAATAAAATTATGATTTTATTAAATAAAATTACGTATTAAATTATTGTTGTTAATTTGAATATAAAAATTATACTTTTGGTCCTGTGAAATCCGGTGGCTTTTTACTGAAGCCGAAGGTTGGCTTAGTAGGATTGAACTAAAGTCACCCTTTTTTACACTATTCGATCATGTTAAAAATTTGTTTGCTCATGAAATAAACGACCTAAATAGATCAAAATTGTTATTTGAACAACTATCTTCATTATATTCAATGAATATTTTACATTCCGCTGGTGCTCATAGAAATTATGGTTGCTGAAATCATACGTTGGCTTACTGCAGTGGCTTACTGGGTCTCATACAACAGTGTCATGGCAGTTTTCTTTACATAAAATGCTTTAAATAAGTCAATATATTCATTTCACAATTATTTTTGTCAATATAAATAAAGAAATTGCTTTTGTCTGGTAAAATACAGTGGCCAAGTAAAGCCGTATTTGGCTTAATCGGATTTTTTTCATATATAAAATACTATGAGATCAATCAATCAACCAATCAATCAACCAACCATTCATTCAATCAACTAGTCAACTAACCAATCAATGAACCATATTTGAAAAATATTTGCAAGGCTTGTTCAAACTCGAACAAACACTTAACTGTACAGATCTACAAACAATTTCGATATTTTAGTAAAGAAAGAAAAACACAATAGTTGCTTTTATTAAATCAAGAAATATCCAAAAATTATATAACCAAATTAAAAAAACTTGAAACCAGTCAACATTTAATAAATAATCAAATAAATAAATAGACATTATTAAAAAGATTGTTCAAAAAGGTAAAATTTAAGGCGACGACGAGAATAAAATGTAGTTTGTTTTATTGGTGTGGGGCTGTGAAGCGAAAACAAACACATCACAAAAAACTAGTAAAAAGTCGCAAGAATAGTAGTCAGTCACCTACCTACAATTAAATTACTCTCAGGGCCCTAGCTTACTTATAATCATTAACTCAACTCACCTACCTACAAATATGTTTTTCTACGTTTTTGGAATTTTACATGTTTTAGGTATTTTATTTTACATATTTCAGTGTTTTTATTTTACTTGAAACTTTTTAACTAATGTTAAGCCCTAGCCTACCTACGATTGTTCAACTCATCTCAATCCCTAACTTACCTATGAATAAAATTAAGTCCGGTAAAGAAAATAGAAAGTTGAAGAGAAACATAACAACGACACCGATTGAATGGATGTTGTGTATGTGTGTGTTGTATTGATGTATGTGCGTAAATGTGCGCGCGTTTACTCTCCAGAAACTTCTTATTGTCATCTTCGAATTGTCATCAGAACGATCATCATGAGACTACCATCTGAAACGTGCTGACGCCCACCACAACCCACCTCTCATCATTCTGTAGACAAATTTTTTTATCAGCCTAGTAATGAATGAATGTTAGAATCTTAAAAGAAAAAAATTATAAAATGAAAATAATGGCAAATAAATAATATTTTAAAATAATAAAGAGAGTAAAATGTAAAAAAAATTTACTTTCATCCATTCGACAAAGGCAAAATGTTGAATGCCTGAGTGAGTCAAGAGTCAATGAATTAATTAACGATTCAATGATTAAAAAAATAAATTAATGGAAAAATGATTTGAAAGATTGAATGATAAAATGAATGAATGAACGAATGAATGAATGAATGAATCAATCAATCAATCAATCAATCAATGAGAAAAATTAAAAGACGAAACTACTAAACCTTAGTTCAAAAATCGTCGTTACAGTACTTCATTGCACCGACCACCATCATCTGGTCGGCACACATGATTTCATCCGAACTTCTGATTGTCAGTCGAACAGCCAACGCGCTGATTCTTCCTACACCACCATCATCATACGTAAATCATCATGAGACAACCATCTGAAACGTGCTGACTCCCACCACTGCCCACCTCTCATCATCCTGTAGACAAATTTTTTTATTAGCGTAGTAGTAAATGAATGTTAGAATCTTAGGAGCAAAAAATTATAAAATGGAAACAATGGCAAATAAAGTGATTATAATGTAAAAAAATTACGTGATTAAAATCGTAAAAAAACTTACCGTCGTCCATTCGATAAAGGCAGAATGTTGAATGCGGTTCGGTTCCTACGTTGTCCTCCAAAACTGGTGCCAT